GAGGATATTGAAAAGTAAGAAATTAGGAGGTGAATAATACGGAAATGTTCTACATGATTGCACATTTATCATGTATATTGGATGGCTTGCCATCTGGGGAAGGGAAGGAGGGATAGAATTTGGAACTCAAAACAAAACAAAAAAAAGGGAAAAATTGTTTTAACATGTAATTGGGGGAAAATAAAATTATTATTAAAAAAATAAATAAGGAAGATTGACTGAAGGAACTGGGAGTATTTAGCTTAAAGTCTGGGAGACATAATCAAATAAATAATAATTGTCTTCAAATATTTAAAATCTATCATGTGGAAGCAGAATTCGTCTCTAGGTAGTACAGCAGATACAGCACTGGCCTGGGAGGCAGGAGGATCTGAGTGCAAACGTGACCTCAGACACTTCCTAGCTGTGTGACCCTAGGCAAGTCGCTCAACTACTGTCTGCCTCAGTTTCCCCATCTGCAAAATGGGGGCAATAATAGAATTTCCCTCCCAGGATCATTGCAAAGATAAGATGAGATCTGTATAAAGCACTTTGTTAACCTTCAAATGCCACATAAACGCTAGCTGTTATTATTAGACTTGAGCAGCTTGGCCTTATGGAGCAGAACTTTGGAAAAACGGTCCCTGTGAGACCTTGAACAAGTTGTTTATCCCCGATAAGTCCTTATTTCATTTATAAAAAGGGAAGGGTAGGACCCTAAGTTTTCTTTCCATTCTTATTCTAAGAGACTACGTTGTGTAAAGGTAGATTTCAGTCTCATCAATAAAAACTGCTTGATCATTGATGCCCAAACAGAATCAGCTGCCTTAGCTGGTTCTGCATTACAAGAGGGCTGAATTACTGTTGGTCCAGATATTGTAGTGGGTGTGAATTGGACTAGAGTGACTGTCAGGTCCCTTCTGACTGAGATTTTGTGATAGTCAACCAGAAATAGCACCAGAGACTTCTGGGAAAAAATTATAAAAGTAAAAAGGATGTTATTAAAATTATATTGTAGAAAAATGTCAAACACCTACAAAAAAGCCCTTCCCAAACCATCTACCCCAAGTTAGCACTAACCAACCTAGCCCCAGAATGACTTTGTATTTATTTTGTATTTATTAATCTGCATACACATCTCCTAGAAGAATGTAAGATTTTTGAGAGCAGCAATTGCTTTTTTTTTTGTCTTAGTATTTCTCAGTGCTTGGCACAGGGCCTAGGATACCAAAAATAGTGAAAGTAAAGACATGTGGCACTATACAAATTTATTAGAGATCTAGGAAATGAAGCGCATGGGTTTCCAACCCACACACATACACACATATGTATATGTACAATCTCCTGTTTCTGAAGATGCCTGATTAGAATAATTTCCATTCTGTTCCATTACCCTTTGCCATAAATCTCTACTCATTTGGTCTTAATATAGGTCTTAGGTCTTCTCCTTGGGGATAGCTCTCCTGTTCTCCATAAGGCATCTCTTCTCTAGGATCAATAATCTTTGCTCCTTTATTTGTTCTTCATATGATACGATTTCAAATCACCTCAGCACCCTTTGGGATACTCTCCAGTATAATATTCCACCTCTCACTGATAAAACAGAATTGAACCCAGTGTTCCAGATGGAGTCCAACCAATGCAGGGGTTAGCAGGCTCCTTACACAGTGGATGTTTTATGTTCGAGGGATCAATTTCTGGATTTATCTCCCTCATTCTAGACACTATTTCTATTGATACTGGAATCCATTCTGTTGGCCCTTTAAAATGATCTGGGTATAGCATACTCAGTAGTAAATTCTTCAGTGATTCTTCTTATTGTATTAGAATGATTTCCTCTTATATAGTAGGAGTAGAGAGGCAGTATTCTATCCAAACACACTTCTCCCTTTGGGCCCCTCCACCACTCTCAGAAAAGATGCAAGAAAAGGAATTGTTGCTAAGCTCTGGCACTCAGGGAGACAATGGATAATATCATTCCTTCAAGACAAGAGTTTTGAAGTAAATCCCACTGAAGTTTTCAGAACAGTGCTTATTCTTAATCATTCATGGGGAGAGTGAAACAGGGTCAGTGCTGCTCTGGATTACCCAAAAACTAGAAAAAAACTTTATGGTTTTAAATACATAAACTGGGTATTCATTCAAGAAATAATTTAATTTCAATGTTTCAAGTCAGAGACCAGAATCCTGTAAAACAAAGGTCTGTGAATAGATTTCAGGAGGTCCATGAACTTGGAAGCAAAAATAATTACTTTACTACCTTCACTGAAATTTAGTATATCCTTTAATTATTTCAATGATTTTGAGAAGGGGTATAGGTTTCACCAGACCAGCAAATGGGCCCATGACACAAAAAGGGTTGATTACTTCTCTACTTTCTTAGTTCAGAGGGCATCCAGAAGCAAGCATCCATGCCTTTTTTCTGTTATAGGAATTGCACTGCATTCAAAAATCCCCCTCCAAACTGTGGTAGTTTAAAAGTCCAACTCTCCCTTTATGAAAATGAAAAGGTTTTTTAGCGTGATTACCCACGTGCATTTCTTGTCATTCAAAAAAAAATAAACTTTTATTGATATCTTGTCATCACCTAATTTTCCCTGGTACAACTGTCTCTCCTGCAAAGTCACCCCATAGTGACAAAGTCACCCTTTTAATAAAAGGATTTGTTCTGTAAAACTTGAACTCAGTCAAAAGGCCCCACCCAATGACCTAGAGGGCTACATGTGGCCTTGAGGCCCACCCCTGCTATAGAACAAATATTTTTTTTTTTTAGGCAATTGATGTTAAGTGCCTTGCTCAAGGTCACACAGCTAGTAAGTTGTCAAATGTATGGTCCGAGGCTGGATTTGAACTCAGGTCCTCCTGACTTCAGGATTGGTGCTCTATCCGCTGCGCCACCTAGCTGCCCCCTATTTTCTTTAAAAGAGGAAGAAGGGGAAAAATTCTAAATTTCATATTGGTATATGGAAGCTATCTTTCCTTTTTATTATAAGTGTATGTGGGGGCAGCTAAGTGGCACAGTGGATAGAGCAACGGCCCTGGAATCAGGACTTTGAGTTCAAATGCAGCCTCAGACACTCACTAGCTGTGACCCTGGACACCTCACTTAACCCTGTCTCAAAAAAAAAAAAGTCCTACGTGATCCACTGGTATTCACTGCTACCAGAACTCCAGAAACACTCAGTATACCGGGTGGGCTCTCTATGGCACGTAGACCAGTGGCAAGAATGTGCTAACATTGTACATGGCAAGCATTATTGGAGAGAATACATCAATGAGATCATAGACTCAGTCTATTTCCCATTGTTTTGGTTCTTTTTTTCCCTCTCAGGGGTAGGGGTCGTGGGGACACAAGTGTGTTGCTTCTTAAAGAGCAGAGCGAGACAGAAACAAAAAAAAAATCAGTCTATACAAGGCCAGAAGACCTCAGAGAGCAGGTGAGATTTACCCATAATGACCATGAAACTAGAAATGGGGAAACCTCATGTCTAGATTATTCAAAAGGAAGAAAATTTATAAATTACTTTAAATACCCAAACTGGGCATCCATCCAAAATTGGGTTTTTAAATACACTCCAATTTTGCCATTCAAATGAGTGTCATCTTCCAAAGTAACTGCCTTGGATGGTGACATATTTATTCCAATAGTTGTTCAGAGCATTTTCAGAGCCCCTCCTGAGCCTCACAAGAAAATGGCCTCATTACTCTGCACAATTAATCTGGCAATTCATCAGGAACTCTTGTCCCATTGTTTTGGAATGTTCAAAAAAAGATATCTTTCATTGTTATTTAACTTTTCATGTTTTCATAGCTTGTCTGCCCTATGAATAAAGTTCTTAAAGCTAGGGCAAGGAGTTCTTACCCTTTCTTGTGTTAACAATTCCTTTCACAGTCTGGTGAAGCCTCTGGATCCCCTTATTGGGATATGTTTAAATGCATAAAATAAAATAGGATTGCAAAGGAAGCCATTATATTAAAATATAGTTATCAAAATACTAAATAAATCTACAGACCTTAAGAACCCAGGCTATTGGGGGATATCCCCTCATATCCTCTACATTCTACTCACTCTAAGGGGTTCTATGAATATGTTTGATACTCCTTTCTGACCAATATGAAGGGGCAAGGGTTGAGGGAGGATATATATGTGTATATGTGTGTGTATGTATGAAAATCAACCACTTATTCATCAGAGTTGGCTTTGAATGATCTTGGGCTATTTCCAAAAATCCAATCTCATCACCAAAAAGATCAAGATTGGCCACCATGAAAGATATCTGTCTGAAAGAATATACAGCAGGCAAGTCCAGAAGGTTATCTCCAAAGACTTCATGAGTCCCGAGAACATGGTGTGGCAGGAGGTCACAGATAGTTTTCTCAGATGACAGCTCTGGGGTGGGGGGATGACAATATAATATGGATGTATAGGTCCTAGTATCTGGGATGAAATGTTGCTTCACAATATCACCTTGGATTTGAAGGTATTAACACACACATGAGGCATTTAAGAAAACTGGAAGGAGGGAAAGGTGGCCAACCTCCTCCATAGGGTAACTAGACAGCTTATAACCTGTCATTCTGACATTTACTCCCTTTATTCCCACACTCTATTGGTCCTTGGGCTGGGGGTAGGGGGGTACTCTAGTTACAATAGGCAGGGCATAATGACTGTAGATGAAATTTCTAGCCCCTAACCTACGGTCTCATGCAGCCTTAGAAACCAAAATGGACTAATTGGGGATGACTCCTCATGAATAACTGATCCATTCTGCCCTTTCATCTTAGATGACCTCTAAGGTAGGCTAGGGCAGTGATGGGGAAATTTGAAGATAAACAGGGTATTGGTGGGCTGAAGTCTGAGAAACACATGCAAGCCTCATGTACAACTAGCTGGAGATTGTTTACTGCTGCCTCAGTTGTAACAGTAAATGGAAGAGTAAGATAAGCATGGCATACATCAGTTATCGTATGTATAGTTGAGGCGCTAAAGCTGGACTACAAAAACAAGCAGACGCCCTAAAGCAGGTAAGAAATATAAATTATTTTACTGCTCAACATTTACATATTGAGAGTCGGTACACACACTACTACTTTTTTTTCTTCAATTGATGCAACTCAGTAATTTTTATTGCAACTGGAAGACAATACATCACAGAAACTTTATGGTAGGTTTGGGGAAAAGTGTTATTTACAATAATTGATGAAATAGTTTGTCTTTGGCAATATGATTACACATCAAGAAAATGTAAAATGCAGGTATGTATGCCTCTAAATCAACACCATCTCATTCCCTAAAGTTCAGCTGCTCACTCTTGCCTTCGGACTGCTCACTTAGGTAACAAAAAATACAACTTAATATTACTTTTTCTTCCTCCATCGTGGTTCTCATTTTCTATTCATATTGGCAGTTTCATACAGCAAATACAAGAAAAAAAATTGGCTTTTGAACAGTAACTTCTCAACTAAAATTAATTTGGCCAGGTAAAGTTATTGGCCAGTGAAGATCAACTGACCCCTAAATCTCTCAGTCTTTTGATTGCTTTTTTCATCCATTGTTAAACAAAACAAAAAACTGAACTCAGAAGTGTTACAGAATCAGAGTAGAAAAAAGTACAGGTGCATAATGTTTTCTAGACACACGAATACTTTTTCCCCTTGATATTTTTGCCATGGCAGTTAACGTAGTGAGTGTGAATGACACACATGTGAAATTGGTTACTGAATGCAAGACAATATGACCTTAAATAAGTGGCCTTCACATACATACATACTCGAGAAGTGTTTCAGGTTTAAATAACTGAAAGTGAGCTCAGTTTCAATCTATAAGAAGGGATTGGGGATTTCAGGCCACAGTAATAAAAAAGGATGAAATACGATTGCTAGGTATGATAGCTCAACCATATCGAAGTCTTTGTGAATCCAATATGGAATATCAATTACTTTGCAAAAGGTAGAGAAGGCCATTCTGCACCTGTTGCAAATGCAATACAGTGAAAAAAAATACAACACTGTTCATATCTTTCCAAATAAATATTCTTGGTTTCAATGATCACAAAGAAAACACCAACAAAGAGGAAGGCTACTTGTTAGCATGGTTAAGTTAGAAGTGATCATGACATCTCTGATTTTCAAATGTGCAACAACAGTGATGCAGCACCTTATAGACACATCAGGTTTGGACTTTTTTAAGAGTTGTTTTTTCTTTATTCTGTTTTCCTTATCCTTCCCCTAATTTTTGGTCAGTGAAATTAGCACTTATTCGTCAAAACATGGAAGAATCGCAATGTTGGGTACACTATTAATGATGAAGCAACCCAGTTGACAAGTCTGTGCTTAATTCAAGAATAAACCAGAATGAGGGAAGAATAGAAAGAAAATAAAGGAAAAGAAGCAACCTTGGTGGGTGCTTGTTCCAAGGAAGAGGGGATTAACAGATGGTTCACAAAAGTATACAGAACATCGAATGTTAAGTGTAAATCCTTGCAAAACTCCAGCTTGAAACAGAAACCGCACACACAATGTATATACTTTTGATTTACACGATACGAAGGAAAAAAAGACATTGTTACGACATTGTTGTAGCTGTGCTAACTGCAATAGAAACCAAACAATTTCAGAGTTTGGCAGGTAACTAAGAGAGGGTTATCACTTAGGTTATATAGCAAAAAAGTGTTGATGTCTATCATCTATAGTAGTATAAATAATAAAAAAGTATTATTTAAATTAGATCACAGTGCTGGATTATGTGCATAACAGTGTTCGATAGATAACTGGAGGGTTATGAACTATGATACTGGGGATTTAACAGTCAACACTGATAATGCAGGCATGGTCAAGAGGAGGATGCACATGGTCCAAAGGGTCTTTTGGTGGCAAAATCTAGAAGATTAAACAAGTTGCTTGTCTACCAAAAAAATTTTTGTCATATCCGGGCAAGCTGTGATCCACCACAAAGAAACCATTCCCATTCTGAATGAGGTGAGGTGGGTTTAAAAAAAAAAACAACCAACCAAAACAACATATATTTAATCCAATCCCATATCCTAAATACTTCTCATCAGGTCACTTGTGAGTAACTTCTGGTTACCACTCCATTCGGTTCATTCGGTGATGTGGCTGAAGACCAATGAACACAGTGTGGGAATAACATACACTTCGTTTTTTAGGCATATGTTTGACATCACTTGGACAACGGTTAGTCCTTGTGTATAGCAGGACTTGGGGGAAGGAAAAGAGGGCATGGAGTGGGAGAAGCCATCAAAAAGATTTCCTCTCTAGAAGCTCCAGTCATTTGCAGCTCAGCATTTCCTGAATCCCATTGAAGGTATTCCTGGCTTTTCACCTGAAGTGCTGTCAGTAACAACAATGCTAGCCCCAAATACCTGAATTCGTCTTAGAAAAGGCAAAGGATTTTCAGGCCAGGCCTGTTACAGATCTCTTTTGTATTTAGTTACATAGCTTTCCAAAGACCTTAAAACAATTGCCATGATTGGATCAGGTCAAAAATCTTTCATCACTTGCTTAGCTGGGACTGGGTTTCTGGGGGGAACACCACTGCAACAAAGATTTGGTAACTTCCTACATAGGTAACTATACCAAGGAACTCTGGGAAATCTAAAGATCTGTTGGGGTGGGAAGGGAGAAATTATGGAATACTACGGGTAGGGCAGGAAGGGAAATCAATAATGCAATCCCTTTTCTGAGTACTGAGGGAAGATTAAATGACATCTAATAGAATCTTTTAAAAAACTGTCTACATGTACATCATTTAAGAAAAAACCTAAAGATATTCTCTTAAGTGTGTCAGAGCCAATAATATGTGATTCTAGGTTGCAGAGTACATGTATGTTCTAGGCCACTTAAGGTAGTTTTAAACGCTGCTGAAATGCTCTGCTTGGAGCCACCAAGGTCCAAAAGACCAATTATGAAAACAGAATGAAAAACACTTCCTAATGGTGAGTAGGTAAGTTTATTAGGACAAACTAATAAATGGGTACTGGAAGATGAATGATCAAAAGGCTGGAAGGGAATCTTAGGCCTCAAGTGGATTAAGTTTATGCAAAATATTCTTTCACAAACAGGGCTTTGCTTAATTTTTTTACTGCACTGCATGTCTCCTGTCCCTTTGCCTTCAAAGGCATTGACCATCCTGTTCTTCAACTAGGTACATTATAAATAGCACTCCCTGCCCCCTTTTCCTCCCCATTCCCCAGGTTCACGGCTAAAAATTTTCTTTTAAAATGTTAAATGTAAATGCTTTTCATGGGAGTTGGCCCTAAATGCTACTAGCAAGAGTGAGAAAGCATGGCATGAAAGGTGAATTTTACTGTGATCTGCATAGAGTATTCCAGGCTTATCTTCTGGCCCCAGGCAAGTGACTCTTATCTATGCTAAAAGTGCAGGTTAGTAGGTCCCCTGAATGTCATGGATGGAGATTATCGAGATGTTAATGAAGTTTGGAATAGTGTGTCTCGTTCTAGTAATATGGAAAAGATGGAAGATGCTGTCTAAACCACAGTAAAGTCAGGTACATTTGAAATAGGTTAAACCAAAAGAACAGTAATTAATGGAAGGAAGTGTCTGTTAGAGTGTCTTAGGGGCTGGTTCACCCCAGTGACATGGATAAAAGCCTTAGATGTAATACTGACCAACTTGCAGATCACACAAAGCTCAGAGGGCTGGCCAACACACTGGATTACAAAATCAGGAGCCCAAGAGATCCTAAAAGGCTAGGGCACAGATTCAAAAATTAATGAGATGAAATTAGGGGAATATGTAAATAAAGTCTTATGATGGCTTCCAAAAATTAACTTCCTAAGTTCAAAATAGGTCAGACAGCAGTTAATCTGAAAAAGATTTAGGGATTCAAGGATATGATAAGCTCCATGAAGTGAATAGAGGGATATTGCAGCCAAAAAAATAAAATAAAATCTGATATCATGTGCTACATTTAGACAGGTCTAGTACAGGACAAGGGAAGGGAAAAATCCTAGTGCATTCTGCCCTGGTCAGATCCCATCTGGAGAGTTGTGCTCAGTTTGGGGTGCCACTTAAGAACATGAATAGGATGGAGAGTATCCAGAGAAGGGTGACCAGTGAAGAGCCTTTAAGATCATGCCATATGAGGATCATTGGGATGGAACTGAGAGAAACAGAATCAGAGGGAGACAGGTGGAAAATAGATTAAACTTATCCTCAGAGTGGAGATGGGCAGAGGGAAATAGAAGAGACACACATTTTGGGTTGTTGGAAGGAAAACCTTCCTCACAATTACAGCTACTATTGAAAGGGCTTCTTCAAGAGATAGTGGGTTCCACCATGGTAGTGGTCTTCATGGAAAAACTGCATGACCCAGTTTCAGATTTGTTACAGAGGAGACTCTTGGCCTGCTATGGATTGGACAGGATGGTCTCAGAGGCTCCTTCCAATTCAGATCCTGTGATTCTGTACTGACTCACTGTTTTGGTTATGTACAACGTGTAAGCTTCAAAATCAAGAGGAGAAGAATGAGCCTCTGCTAAAGTTGCTCCAACAAAGTGAGACTTGGGAAAAATGACACTTGGAAAGTTGCTGATTGAGGTATTTAAGCAAAAGAGTGGTTCAAGAGTAAAGAATACAACACTTAGTTAAGATCTGCTTCTCAAAGAGAACAAAACAAGAAACTACATGATACATTTTATGGTTTTCTAAAAAGGGCCTTTGCTCATTTAAAAGTGAAATGATCAGGAACTGTTTACAGGTACTTACTGGAAGGAACAACACTTTGCCAGAATCAGGCTTGAATGTGTTCTGAGAATATGGATTAAATATGATTTAGAGGGAGAGAGGCTGGGGAGGGGAATCTCTTCTATCAATCTGCAGGGATTGAAGGGCAGAAAACAATGACAAGATGGTTGGAAGGAGAACTCAGATTCATTCTGTCTTGGGGTGACCTCCTTCATGGTGCAAAGATCCTAGAAGCCCGAGAGAACAGATTGCCTTTACTTCTATCCCCATTCACTGAAACAAAAATACTCATCCTTTAGTGACAGAATCTTGCCTGAGTAATGCTGCTGAATCGGCAAAAGAGGAATTCAGGCTCAATTAACTGGTTCTACTTGTGATATATTTATGAAACAAAGAGTTCCCTCTTCACTGAATCAGAGCAAAACAACTCTGCAGTGTAGGCCAACTGGCCTTCTTCCTTTGATTTAAAGGCCTACTTTCCCTCACCAAACACCCACAGATGGATCTGAACCCCTTGCAGGAGCCTTCTGTTTCTTAATCAAAATTAGCAGGGTCCTTCCATATCAGGTGGCAACTGGTTTGTCTTAATTTCAATTCACTGGGGAGGTGAGGCAAAATATCAGATCTTTCTGTTGTTAGCTTTTCAGGTTTCTGAAAAGGAGAAAAAACCCCAGACATTATAGGCATACTTGCATTTTTTAATAGAAATGAAAAATAAGAGGGGTTTCTGCTTTTTTACTAGGTTGCCCTGTTATATAGTATCCTCTTGATTCAGATGATTTTAGGAGAAAATTCTAGAGCACTGAGGAAATGGAGAGCAGGGACTTCCTCTTGCCTCTTTTTATATTCTATTGTTACTGTAAAATGTCCTGGGAGTTGCATTTCTACCACCTGTGTCACTGTCTCCTGAACACTGTACCGTATTTCATACCATCATCAGATAAGGCCTGTTAGCAATTTCTTCTTCCTCCTTAGGGGCAAATTTGCATAATTATTCACTGCCATCTATCCTAGAACCAAATCATCATGATTTTCTCAGTTTCAGCTTCCCATTATTCTCCTGATTCTATCATACACACTCACTACTAAATTTGCCCTCAAATTATTGCGTCATGTTAGACATGTACAGACAAAGAGAAAGGACACACTTTTTTAAACAGAGAAATCAGGGTGGGGGGAGAAGGGGGCTGAATGTTCAGACAAGGCAGTATAGTTCAACCATCCAAGCCCTACCAGAGCGTGGAGTTTTTATATATATATTTATATATATTGCAGAGTAAATTCCCCAACAGTCAGTGTTTGTCCCTGAAGAAGGTTAAACCTTAAACACCTGCTTCAAAAAACCAGAAACAAAACAAACAAAACAAAACAAACAAACAAAAAAACCCAACAACAATAAAAAAAAAACCCAACCAGAACAAAAAAACAAAAAACTTCTAAGCCTAAAGGCTTAAAAATTAGAGGCATAGCCTTTTCTCTATTTTCTATATTTATATGAAAATAATTCATGCTTCATGCTAAATACATTATTTACCTTACAAGAACTTTGTTATCTTTGAATAAAAAAAGTTTTTTTTGTTTTTTTGTTTTTGTTTTTTTTTGTGATTTCTTGTTTTGTTTTCCTCAAAGGAATCCATGCACTGTGGATCAGATATTCTTGCTGGCTACACTGGGTGAATCTGGAAATCAATGATTTTTGCACAGATGAATCCTGACTGACATTAACTGAAAACTCCATTTTGAGGGCAGCTTAGGAGCTCTTTTTGGTAGATATTATTTTCTTGTCCACCAATATGCCTTGAAAACAAATTTTTTTTAAAAACACATCATAATACTAATGGCAGGTTTTGTAGCTTCTAAATTTTTTAAAAACTAGATCAAATATTTTTGGATCCACGGAAAAAGATCTGTATCATTATTTCCTTCCTTAATATCTACTGTAATTTCTTAGACTTGATTGCTTTTCACTCAGGCAGTTAAGAAGACATAGCTTGTTCTCTGCATTATTGTTATTTTTTGTACGCAGTGCCAATCTTCGGGTTTATGGCTTCTGAATCTACTATAGAAGACAGAATTCAATGATTAGTGAGATCTCTAACAATTTGCCCTTTTCCTTCTCATCATTCACTGAAACCCATCACATACACAGTTCAGTTTCCACCACTTAAAAAGGCATCAGTCTTTACATTTCTAAGCCACAGGGTATGTTAAAGCAGGAAACCACCGTGCCTGACATGTGGCAACTCCAGACTTGCAACGTCACCCCTGGAACCCACAGTGCCACTGGCTGGTTCCCGGTTCTGTCAAGACGGAAGGCCTTCCTGCTTTCCCCAAATCTCCTTAATTCACATTCAAATCATTAACCCAATCATGTGAACATTTTAATTTCTTAATCCTAGGGGTTGGGCCTGACCAATGACTGATTTGTGCACATCTCCTCTAGGTGCCAACGGGTAACTGGTGCCAAATTGTACTTCCACTGCATTAAAGCGGGTGTCACGGCATATTCAACCATGTATTCTGACAAGCTGGAGAAAGCAATGTAAATTTTGGCTTTTTATGGTTTTGTCTTCAGATAATGAAAAGCTTTTGTAAAACAGCTGAGTGTCAGTACGAGTTCTATGGCTTCAATCTCCTTTAAAAATAAAAAATCTTAAGGGTCCAAAAAAAAATTAAACCAAACCAAAAGGGAAAAAAATTGTTGATATTGCCACAAATCATTAGAATTCTCCTGACGTGCTGAAACAAATTTTTTTTTTAGTAAGTTCAAAACAAATCAGTGATTTGTTTTAATTTTTTGTGGTTTCCTTTTGCTCTTTCTGCCCCTTTGCCGTCCTATTGGTGATGTTGTTCAAGCAGGATCGGATTCCTGCTAAGTGTAAGAGAGACCCAGCTGCTTCCTTCATCTCCTCGTCGTCACTCTCAGGGGGCTTCTCTGTGCGTCGCTTTTTAAGGGGCAGCGTATCACTAGGGACTTTCCTCACCTTGGATAAATGCTGCCTTTTCTTGTGCTGTGACGCATACCCACTGTCAGCTAAAGAATCCTTGGTCTCCTTTCTGTTATGCTTCCTGTCATCCTCTTCGGTTTCACTATGGCTCTCGTGACTCTGGAAGCTAATCTCACTGCCCTCGCAGCTGCCCTTTGTAGCAAACTCATAATGGTCATCGGCAGAGGAAGAAGAAATGGAGTCACTGGCTGGGGAGGTGCTCCTGGGGTTGGAAGATTTGGCACTGCTATAATTGTGATCTTCCTTTGGGTCACCGCTAACGACCGGAGAGCCACAGGACTGCTCACTTTCTGTCCGCATCCGACAACTGGTCATGCCATTCCTGAAGAAAGGAGAGAAGGTACGGCATCAAAACAGGCAGGAAAAAAATAGCAAACAGTTTCTGCTTTTGACTACAGAAAAAATTATTTTCACCTCAGAAAGGTCAAATTGTGATCAAGTTATTCAAGATTGAGCCTGGTAACTTGGCACTGCTATACCTGAAAGAACGCCACAAAGGGAGGAAGTAGAAATGGTGTGAAGAAATGGTCACCAATACTAGTGCCACAATAGCCTGTATTTGTCTTCTATCAAGGATATTTTCATTCAATGTGGATAATCAGGGAGTCAAAACAATCCTTCTCTGACAGTTGGTGGAACCTTATTATCTTAAATAAGTTTTGAAAAATCAGGCTGTTGTTCCATTCCATGAATTAGCAAAGATTATAGAATCAGAAAGCATCTCATGTTGGCATGGACAAACACTTGTGGGTGAATGAGGAAGCAGACTCTTTTCTCAGGGCAACTGCCCGCAGGAAAAAAAGAGTTATGGTGTACACACACACACACACACACACACACACACACTCTCTCTCTCTCTCTCTCTCTCTCTCTGCCAGGAGAGTAAATATAAGGCCAGGGATGAAGAGATGACTTGGTAGGATGCTCATCCATGGAGGGTGGTCAACTTCTCTCCTGCTGGATCCTTAAGACCAAGAAATTAGGTTCAGAAGTGACCTAGGAAACATTTTCTTCAGTAAAACAGGGGCAGTGATTTCTAACAGATCAGGGACTTAGGAACCATTCTTAGCTCATGGGCTGTATTAAAACAAGTGTTGGACCCAATGTGACTTGTAGGTTATAGCTTGCTGACCCAATACACGTTTGCTAAGATACCTTCCTGGTTCTAACAATCTATCTCTTTGATAATCTATATATCCAGTCCTACTCTCTCTCCCGAGTTCCAGTTCCTAAATCACCAACTGCCTAGTGAACATTTCTCAGTGAACATCCCATACTCATCTCAAACTCATCCATGTTTAAAACAGAACTCATTAACTTTCCCCCTAAAACACATCCCTTTCTTCCCAGTGTCCCTATTTCTGTTGATAAAACCACCTTTCAGGAATCTAAGTCCACAACTTTTGGAGAAATGTTTAATTTCCTGGCCAGCCCTCTCCCTGTTCTTTTCAATGGACTCCCAAAGCTCGTCAATTATGACTCCCTAGCACTTCTGACATCCATTTCCTTTATCTCTACTAACATGGCCACATCTGTAAGTCAGGCTTCAAATTAACTATCGTTTGCTATAGTCTCTTATTATTAATCAAGAAAGCAACAGAAATTTAGATATTTGCTATGTGCCACATTATGGGAATGCCAAGATTAAAGTAAAAACACTCTCCGTCTTCAACCATGTTAAAAGTCTAACCAGGAAAGGCAACATATTCATATATAGAGATATAAAAAAGCAAATATACAAAACAATTTCAGGGGGAAGGTACTAGTAGCTATGGGGATCAGAAAAGGACTCATGTAGAAGGTGGCACCTGTGCTGAGCCCTGAAAATGAACAAGGCCTCCCAAGGGTCACAGGTGAGGAGGGAGTGCATTCCAGGCTTAAGGAGACAGCCAAAGCAAAGGTGGAGAGGTGGGAGAATGTCTTGTGTGAGGAACAGTCTGGTTGCACTGTAGTGTATGTGAATGGAAATAATATACAATAAGGCAACTGGAAGATTAGGTCAGGACAAGGTTATGAAGGACTTTAAATGTCAGAGAGAATTTATATTTGGTCCTGGAGGTAATACAGAACCAATGGAGTGTACTGAGAGTGGAAAGCATACTAGAAAGATCAGTTTGGGGGCAGCTAGGTGGTGCAGCGGATAGAGCACTGGCCCTGGATTCAGGAGGACCTGAGTTCAAATCTGGCCTCAGACACATAACACTTACTAGCTGTGTGACCCTGGGCAAGTCACTTAACCCCACTGCCTAGCCAAAAAAAAAAAAAAAAAGAAAGGAAAGATCACTTTGGCTACTCTGTGAAGGAAGGATTAGAAAGGGGAAAAGACTTGGAGAGGACAGACCAATTAGGAAGCTATTACAGTAGTACAGAAGTGACAAGGTTCTGAACCAGGATGGTAACTACGTGAGTAGGAAGGGGCCAGATGTGAGAGATATTGTTGAGGCAGAAACGACCAGATTTAGCAACTGAACTGATGAGTAAACTCAAGCCTCTCCTCTCTAGAACTCATCCTCTACCGAGTTACCAAAGTGACATTCCGAAAACAAGTATGATCACATGACTGGCCTGATTTAAAAAACCAAAACAAACCAAAACAAAAAAACCAGTTCTAGTAGTCAGAATGGGTGGGAAAAAGGGCATCCTGGTTAAGTGACTATTTTTGGTTAAGCGGGCATTACTTGCCCCCATCACCAACTTTCAACAAATGAGAATATAATTAACATGAAAATCCTAACAAATGTAATTCAATCTTCAAATATTCAGAAGGGACATTGGGATCTTGCCTCAGGGTCATCATGATGAACATAATTATCACTCCGTAGTCCTGTGGGAAAAATTCTAGTTACTTGAGTTGTGGGGATATTTGGATGCCGGATAAAAGGGAACATACTATACAAAACTGAGCAAAAAGCATTTGTGTCCTCTGCATACCCTGGGTCAGCATTGGAGTCACCTTGATTCACTGACCCTAGGCAGTACTGACTTAATAAAACTTCAGTGGCTTGGACAAGAGAATGCACTTCCCCTCCCAAACCTGTGTTGACCCTAAAGACCTGTGAGTGTGAGAAAGAATCTTGAAAAATATGGATTTTCAACCTTAAGTGACAGTGACTCAGCCATCATTGGGGAAATGTGCTCCTTGGAACTAAATTTCAGAGATAAATGGACTTTGATTACTCCTTCCTCCTTCAAAATTCCAAAACTCTTGAAATGTTAATGTCTGAGGATGGAAAGCCTGCTATAATGTATAATCCCCTTCTCCTGTCTTCTAAAACTAAGTGTGGCAAAATCTCAGCCATTCAGAATCCTTGAGGAACGAGAGTGGGGGGAGGGGTGGCAAGAAGAAGAAAAACAGAGGAGGGAGGGAGAATGAGAGGGGAAGGAAGAGGAAACAGATTCAGAGAGATACAGATGGGTAAGAGACAGAAAGAGAGAGATGGGAAGACAGAGGGCAAAGAAAGATGGGGGAGAGAGAAAGAGAGAGATGGGGAAGAGACAAGGGGGGAGAGAAAGGAAGGGGGAAAGAGAGAGAGGGGAGAAAGACAAAAGAGAGAAGATGGGGGAAGGGAGACAGACAGAGACAGAGAGAGAGCATCAGAACTTTTAATACTTACTAATACTAATACCAGGATGCCCTTTTCCCCAACCATTCTGATTAAAATAATTTTATCCTATAATCATGCTACAAGGACTGACTAATAGAAATGTTCACTGATGAACGATAATGATGACAGAACAATCCCCTTTTTTCAAAGCCCTTCATGAAAGGAGTCACACCTAACCTTGGAGAATAATAATAATGATGATGATAATAGTAGTAGTAGTAGCAGCAGCAGCAGTAGTAGTAGTAATAGTGGTGGTGGTGGTGGTAGTAGTAGCAGCAGCAGCAACAGCAGCAGCAGTAGTAGTAATAGTAATAGTGATAGGGGTGGGGCTGGTAGTAGTAGTAGTAGCTGCAGCAATAGCTAGCATTCATATAGTGATTTACAAAGTGTTTTGCATCTTATTTGATCCTTATAAGTACCCTGGACAGTAGGTGCAACTGTTATTCCCATTTTACATTTAAGAAAATGGACATTAAATTGAATGACTAATTTGGAATGAGATACTAGTAGCTGGTAGGACTCTTTCTATGAAGAGGTATAAAAATTAACCTGAGCCCCAGTTTTCTTCTGTCTAAAGTGAAGATGGTAAATATATTCTTCACACTGTTGTTGTAAAGAGAATACTTAAAGAGAAGTTATTATCATTATAGCATAGGTGGTCACATTTTCTGGATGGCTGAGGATGTGTTTTGACACATCAAATTTTCATCAACAACTCAAAGTTATCATTATAAAGAACAGTTACTTGGGATGTATTCTAGTCTAGTGACATATGAAGAACAACATCAAATAAATGCTGCCACAAGATGGCCAACTATCCTATCCAGCATACCTTTAGCATAATATGTTGATACTCTCCAAGTCTACTGAGCTTCAGTGCAGGTCAGTGGATCATAGATTAGAGAAATCTAAGAAATCATTTATTCCAAAATTTTCTCTCTTAAAGATGAGGAAATTGAGGCCCAGAAAGGTGAACTCACTTGCCCAAAGTCACAAATAAAGATGGTAAACAGCATGGCTAAGTTCTGAACCCAGTCTCTTGATTCCAAATGCAGGCTCTAATAACTCCTGGTGACAGCTGATCTAATTTTTGTCCTTTGTCAATTTTCCTTTGTGTCAATGTTTATATTTTGTCGTTGTTGAGTCGTTTAAGTCACGTCCAACTCTTAGTGACCCATTTGGGGTTTTCTTGGCAAAGACACTGGAGTTGTTTGCCATTTCCTTCTCCAGCTCATTTAGCAGATGAGGAAACTGAGGCAAATAGAGTTAATGAGTTAGTTTCTGAGGCTAGATTTGAACTCAAGAAGATGTCTTCCTGATTCCAAACCCAATACACAATCCTCTATGCCACCTACATGCCCTAAGGTTTCTATAAAGATTTACTGATCTAGAGCATTCCTTTCCTTCCACACAGAATACTAGGGTGTACAGTCTCGATCTCCTCAATGGTTCTCAATTGTTGGTGGGTGGGTCCTCTGACACTGCCCTTTTATGTTTGGCTGGCAAAGAAGTTAAAAAAAAAAAGATCCTAATTCTCAGTCTTGGGCCATATCACAAATAGTTTCTACTGACCAATGGTGGCTTCCATGTGGTACAAGGAAAGAGTATTAACATCTGGTGCTAGAGAAGCTGGGTTCAAATCCCAGCTCTGTTACTAACTACTTGTATAAAGACTTCAGTTTTCTCAGCCGTAAAGTGAAAGGGCTTACCAAGATGA